TTTCCTGTCTCTCTTCAGCTGTCACTATCATAAAGGCAATAAAAGCCCCCCCAAAAAATAAATAAATAAATAAATACATTACATTTCAACATGGTGAAATCCTGCCAAATGAGGCACTGAATCCTTTGAAGCTCCAAAGACACTTTAACACAAAGCACCTGGGATGTGTTGGGAAGCTAAAAGAATATTTACTAATGAAAAGAGATGGACTTCAGGCACAAAAGAAGGTCATTACATTTAATTAACAACTCAGTCAAAAGCCACTTTAAAAGCCAACCACACATACAGTAATGGAGTCAATTCAAAATGGTGTCCACAACTCAGTTTTTAGAGACCCTGATACAAAAATAGCATTGAAAACTATGAAATTGTGCACTGTCTTCCACGTAGAGCTTACCAAAAGCTCATATACTTCTATATAATCATAAAAGTTGAAATACAGCACATGACATACAATGGGCAGCACAAACAAAGCACCAAATGTTATTGAAATTTGTTGGTGTATGCAGCTGTTTACAGTGTCTTTGGATGTAAAATGAATTCTTATGCTCCCCAGTTATAGGCAAATTATATCTGTATATCTGCTACCACTTGAAGTTCACGTACATGATCATATTCCAAGGCAAATGTACTTAAACAGACATAGCCTTGATTAATATATCTACATTTCTGTTTATTTTCATTTTTTGCCACTTTAAATTTGAAGTATCTGCCATATGGTTCATTGTCTGTGAAGCCAGAGTACATCCTTATGCTCATGCTACCACCACCACTGCTCTGCTCTGCTCTGCTTACCATTTGTTATAAGGCCGAGCTGTCTGCACCAGTCACTATATTTAGTTGCCTGAGAGCCGGGGGGAAAAGGTGTTCTGGAAAACTGTGCACTGCAGAGAGGAAAAAAAGAGATGAAGAGAGAGACAAGGAGAGAGAGAATGCAGATGAGAATACAGATAGAGACAACAGAGGAAGTTGAATGGAACAGGGTGAGAAAACCAGAGTGACAATGTCAAAAATGGGGATCTTGTTAGGATGCAGATTTTGATGTGAAAACACACCCATTCCCAAATCACGAAGTGTATGTGGCTCTGACAGAAAATAAAAAGAGTGTTCCATCTCCACTAATTGACACACAGTAGATTCACTCTGTGTGCTCATATTCAATTCGCTGGAGGGAAGTCATGTGTGCACAGAAAAGACTGTAGACCAAAACAGCCTCGAGCAGTGTCGGTTGAAACAGAACTGGACTCATTGGTGTTTGGTGTCTCTTGGTCCCTTTGGTATCATTGAGCATAATAGACCGGCACTGTACCCAAAGTGGTTTCACCTAGAAGTGTCTGCCCCTTAATGGTTTTCGTTAATTTGGTGGATTAAAATCTTACTAATGCTTACTTATCTTACTAGGGTTTGAATTTCCCCTACGATAAGAAAACATCTTATCTTATCTTACTAATAATTCCAGTTTATTCAGAGTCAACTTGGATCCTTTTTTCATAGTTGCCAACATTTCACCAGTTCTACCAGTATTCAGCTTACTTAGCTTACTAGTATTAGCTTATTATTTCCAATAGTGGTTTGATTAGGGGTTTCATTCTCTTTTATTCCATCTCCTTGCATCAGACAAACACACGCTGTTAAGGACAGACAGTGCTTCTTACATCAACAAGGCCACAGTCTAGGTTTCTTACTTTTCAGCAAGATGGCCCACAGGTTGGAGCCTGCACCATAGCTGCAGTGGGTCATCAGAGAGTACATATTTTGGTTTTAGCAGTGGGGACCTGGGTTGCCCGCTTGACAAATGGACAGACCCCATTCCAGCTAGGATCCTGTATCATAACCTAGCTTTGAGCAC